AGGTATCTTATCTGCTTTGTTCACTACTGTATGCCCCACATATTAAATCAAAGAAATATTTGTCAAATGAATGAAAAAATGAATGAACAAATGATATTTTTTGAACCTTGGTTTCTTAGTCTGAAAAAATGGAAATAAAAAACTCACTTCATGGAGTCATGACAGGACTTAATGACATAAATTCATATAGTGTTCATAAGTTCACACAATGCTCAGGGTGTAGAATTAATTTTAATATAATTTAAAATATAGTTCAATTATTAGTTAAAATTAATTTCTCAAATTGTGTAATTCCTTCTTGAGGTGAGTACAGAGCTCATTGACTTGAACATATTTTCATATTTGGATTTTATGATGTTCATGTCTGCAGTGCTATGTATAGCTGAGAATATACCACAAGTCTCTAAAAAATTATCCACTACTATTAAAGAAATCCTTCATTTTTCAATACTGGACCTCTTTCACACACAGCTCATTCCTACTCCAAAATCAAACCGAGGACTGATCCAATATTCATTATCTGATAGTCCCTTTTATAAATTTTCCTCTTTCCTCAAATATGTGTTTCCTAAATTAACTCAGCTAGTGGCTGATGAGTGTGTTCTTGTAGATACTTTTCTGTCCCCCTTTTGATTTGTGACATGTTTTTCTTCCCATCATCAATATATACACAATTTCATAGTTTGTAAGTCAGCATTCCTTAATGTTTTATACCAGAAGTCACAAATTGCCAAGCCACGGCCTGAATCTGGCCTAATGTTTACTTTGACTAGCATTTAAAATGTAGGAGACTTCTCATTCATTAAAAAATAGGGACTTTTGACTTCTTTTGGAAAAAAAATCAGAAGATCTGGCTACACTGGGCCAGCACTTCTGCATAGCAATTATTAGCTTGTCCCCTTTAAACAGGGCTGTTATTGCTAGTTCATCACAGTCCCCACTACTCTTTAGTGTCTTATACCCAAGACTATCTTCCATCTCAGCCCCTATAGACCTAGGAGAGTTTGTCCCTCACACATCTTCTAGGGTGAAAACAATCACCCCATTGGCATCACCACAGATAATTCAAATCTCTCTCTGCCACAGCTCTCTTCTGAGCTCCACACTCATTTCCATATATGTTCTGGACATTTTCCACAGAATATCTGCCAGTCTGTCCTTCCCTCTTTGCTTGCTTCTTCCCATCAAGCAAATAGGCACCAGGCTGTAGATACCTGCTTTATCCCTTATGGAGCTGGTGGGTGAAATTGGCATGCATGGAAACCATATGCTATGTGCTATGATTAGGGTGTATGCAGTAAATTATGGAACTTAGCAGACCAGGGAGGGAGGTGAGGTAGTAGTCAGAGAAGGCTTTCTGAAGCAAATCAAAGCTAATTTGATTAACTCAGGCGAAAGTAGGATGGGAGAAGTGTAGAGGATGACATTTTTTTCCCGGGAGGGTTGATAGAAGCCAGAAACATTAAGGGCCCATTCTGCCTCCTTCATTTATTGTACCAATATTTGAGTGTCTGGTATGTGTGGGCCACCCACGGGGCTAGTGGTAACCAAGATTGAAATGGTCCCGTGGAACTTGGAATCGAGAGGAGCCTGGGAAACCAAGTAGATGGAGGGTCATTTGCTGAGATGAGCCATCCATGAGAGTCCAGGGAGGTGAGTGCAGTTTTGGATATTGAGTTTGAGGTGCCTGCACCCTGGTGGAAATGCCCAGTAGGCAGTTGCACAAAAGTCTGGAACCTAGAGAGAGATGGAGGCAGACATGGAGTTAGAAGTTAGTCCATAGGTGGTAATTGAGGAGCTGCGAAATAGGAAATTACCGGAATGAAAGAGCATACACAAGAGATAGGAACAGCAGACTGATGACACACAGCCCCCTTCAGTCACTCCTTTTCCTCTGCAAGCCTGAGAAGGAGGGATTGCATAGGTAAAAAGAAATGTAGGAGGGTGATGTCTTAGAAAATAGGAGAAAAAAATTCAGGGAAGAAGGGGAAAGTCATATCAGAAAACAATGAAGAACATCCATTTGGATGTAGCCAAAGAGGTCATTCAACAGATCCATAGTGTCTCAACCCTGCTGGCTGACCCCAGATCTGCTGCCGCTTGGGTTTTTTCCTCTGATGATGTTGTCAGCATGCAGAGATGCTCGCCCAGAGGGAACTTCAGTTACCACTGACTCCTACTGCTCCTTCATCTCCCGCCTGTACCCTGAAGGTAGCCCTGCTTCACCCAGTCCACTGCATTTCCTACTGTAATGGACTGTTGCAAGTGCCCACTAAAGTGCTGGTATTACTTACTTCTCTCTTCAGCCATACTAGCTCATCCACCATTTCCTCAGCAGGCTATATGGGTGTCGAGATTTGGGACTTTCCCATAGGTTCTTTCCTCTACCTGGAGTACCCACTTTTCTTCATGTGCTTGGCAAAACCATTAGCCATCCTTCAAAATCCCGTTCTTCTTCCCCCAAGAGGCTTCTGGCAGAATAACTTACTCCTTCCCTTGAGTTCTCAAAGCATCCTGTTCATACCTGTGCCGTGGTGTCTAAACCAGTGTGTTACAGATGCATCACCAACCTACCTATCTGCCCCCCTTACAGGGATTTAAGGATGAACACTCCCAAGAGTTTGAGGTGATGTTTTCATAGACTGGCATTATCCTGGGTTTATATCTATATTCTGTGTGGCTGTCCTAATGGCAGGAATACAGGAGATACTCAACTGTTTCATGTTGGAAGTAATCAGATGTGAGTTGCTATAGGAACTGTAAGCGTATTATAAATGTGGACATTAGTCAACTTTGGGAAAAGAATTGAGGAAGATGTTTTGGGATAAACATGGTGAGTTTTAGTTCCTAGATGAGGAAATGGAAAGAATCTTCTGTTTTCGTCCTTTAGCTCAATAAAGAAAAATGTCATTTTTAAAGTTAAAATGTAGGAGATTAGGAAGAGGGGGGAGCATCCTGTTACTCCAAGCAAAGAACCTAGTACTCTGAGAGAACCCTTACTTCCCTTATTGCTGATAATGTTGGCTCTCTCTGGAGCAGCTGTGTCCGTTGTTCTCTGATTAATTCTAGTGGGATCTTTATCTCATTAACCTACCAGGAGTCCATTCATTCACCTTGCCTGGAGGTCAGAAATTACAGGAGAATCTAAAATTCAAAGAAGTAAATCAACAAGCAAACCTGAAGAATAAACGACCAAACAAAACCTAAGTGAAATTTTACTAAAGATTGATTTCACAATATATTGACAACTCCTCTAAGACACCGATCAAAACATACTAATGTCTAAGACAAGGAAATGACTTGGAAGAGAAATAATATGTACATAAGAGAACATTTATCACACTAAGAACTTGACATAGCATTGTAGGAGAGTATTGCTATTTACAAATTAGATTTTGTAAGGGTAACACCATGTACTAATCAGGCAATCTAACCTACATGGGCTGGGTACAGAGCAGATGTATTATTTAAACATGAGAGATGGATGCTTCAATATGAGATATAAATAATATTTTAAGTAAGAAACCATCAATTCAAATGCCTGCATGGGACAGGCAAGTCACGTGAACAGTCCTGGTGGAGGGGTCCAGAGGGGTAGGGAGTCGGGCAGGGGACAGGCCAGATATGGGCCCTATATTGCCACATGGCTTGAGTTTTCTAAGAAGCCAGTGATTTTCACTTGCATATCAAAGTGTCCTGATTTTTAAAACATTATGTGAGTCAAATGACATGTCTGTGAAGACAACATTTGCTCTACTGGCTTCCAGTTTGCAACACTCATTTTGAAAGTCCAAGTTACTTCTTACCTGCCTTAATCCTTGCTGGACAAAACATCTGAGCCCTTCGAGGTGATGCTATGTAGCACGAACTGTGTTTCTTCTGGAAATGCTTTAAGAGGTTCAAGGATGTCAGGCCACAAGCGCAACAGACATCTGGAGGAGAATCGCCCATTTCCAATCAAGGTACTAGAATTGATTTTCTCCAGAGCAGCTGTGGACAGCTTTGAAGAAAACCTCTGCTCCCTTTAAGATGACAAATGTCATTCAAATGTCTCCTGTCATAACAGGAAAAGGCAGGCTGCTTGGGATTAAACATTTTCCCCGTCCCATCTATGCATATTGGCCCAACTGATAGAATATGTTTATAAAAATCAGAGGAGGAGTGGGGAGTAGTGGAATGGGTCAGATGACTTTTCAGTGGCAGAGACAGCACTGACATCAACAAATTTGCTTCAAGCTACAGAGCCAATGCCATCATCACAGTTTCCTAAACTGACTCAGAAATATTCCTAGATAGGGCGCGAGGGTGGCTCAGTCAATAAGCGCCTGCCTTTGGCTTGGGTCATGATCTCAGGGTCCTAGGATGGAGCTCCACATCAGGCTCCCTGCTCAGTGGGAAGCCTGCTTCTCCCTCTGCCTCTGACCCTCCCCCTGCTTGTGTGCTCGCTCTCTCTCTCTCTCTCTGTCAAATAAATAAATAAGTGAATCTTTAAAAGAAAAAAAGAAGAAATATACCTACAGAAGAATTTGAAAAGGAAAAAGCATATATTGGAATCATTTAATCTAGGGTATTACACACGTACATGCACATATATCAGAAGCACTGCTTTTATAACGGATAAATTAAAAAAATTAAGGTTCAGGTGAATAAAACATTTTAAGTGAACGTGGACAGTTTTCTTTTTAGGAAATCTTATGAGTGAATTCCTTAGGAAAGAATCCTTTCAACATATGAAACAGACATGTAGAGGGTCCTTATAAATTTACATTCCTATATAAATTCATACAAATTCTATAAATTCATGTTTCTATATATAAATATCTGGAGATAAGTCTGATGGCTAAATCAGGCATGCAGAAAAATTATAAACCTGAAATATTTTTTCAAACAGCATTGTTATTCTGGGAAGGACATAAGAGGCTTAAGCTTTTGCCTTGACGCAAAGAGGCAGAGTGGATTGGGAGCTGGCAGAAGACCTAACACTGTGCCATTTCTTCTAGAAGGGAAGAGTATTTGCACCACCGGGTGGACTACCAAAGCTGAGCTCTCAGGAGGAAGAGATTTTGTCCCAGTGAGATAATCAGGCTTTTCTTGACCCCAGCAGAATCTCAGGGGACCCAGCTTCAACGGTAAGTTAAACTACTACTAGAAGGAAATGGGATGCACGTTCCTGCCTAACTAAAGTGGGATTTTTCCTTTCAGAGGAATCCAAAGAAAGCTGTTAGCATTGCCTATTTGTGCTGCTGATTGGAATCTGGGCTTCCATAAATTTTAAGCCAACTTCATAAGCAAATTGAAGCATAGTCTAGATCTGCAGTTTTGTAAGTGCAAGTACTTGGAGGAGCTGCTTGCTGGGGAGAGACGAAGGGCAACGTGGGGACTGCATTTGTCCTCCATTCAACCTTCAACTGTATCTAATGAGAACCTACCATAAGAAAAGAAAAGAATCTCCAACTTTGGCTCTGATTGGTCCATAAGTACTTTCCTGGTCTTCATAGAGGGGCAAGGTATAGGGACAGAAGGAACTTGCAATAATACCCACATTAGGAGTTAAATGACTTGACTGAAATTTTTCAGGATATTTCTGTTGGTTTTTTCACTCTGTTCAGAGAATCTTAAGAACTGGCCATGCTTAGTTCATCAACAATTTAACAAATATTTCTTGTGCGAGTACTGGAGATAAAAATATTAATAAATCATGGGGCGCCTGGGTGGCTCAGTCGGTTAAGCGACTGCCTTCGGCTCAGGTCATGATCCTGGAGTCCCGGGATCGAGTCCCGCATCGGGCTCCCTGCTCGGCGGGGAGCCTGCTTCTCCCTCTGACCCTCCCCCTCTCATGCGCTCTCTCTATCTCATTCTCTCTCTCAAATAAATAAATGAAATCTAAAATATATATATATTAATAAATCATAAAAGTCTGTGGGGATGGGAACAGGGAGAGTTGAGGCTGAGAGAAATAGACACAAATGGATCACTTGATCATTTCAATGCAGTGTATTAGTCAAATGCGTACATATATGGATATATATGCTAATATAGACAAATATATATGTATGCATTTACAGGTGGTTATGCATATATATATGTGTATATATGCATATAACTATATATCTCTCATATGTATGTATAAAATACCAGGTACTAATTGTATGTAAATTACTATGTTAATTATATTACAAACATTATCACACTTAATATTCACTCAAAAGGGTCGTTTTGAGGATTGTCATTCCCAAATTATAAACGAGGAGAATGGAGACTCAGAGAATACAAGACTTTCCCAAGGTCAACAAGCTGGTAAGTGCAGTTATGGGATTAAATCCAGGTGGGCCTGGTGCCAAGCCTCTGTTCTCAGCCACCTCACTGGACTTCCTCTCATATGAAAGAGACATAGAAGAGTAGAGGTAATGCCTGAGGTTTTACATTTTATTTTGTTTTAGGTATCTGTCTTTTGCATAGATGTTAAATTCACATAACTCAAAACTCAACAACATTAAAGCACACAGTGGGAGGTTTTGCTCCCGCACTGACCACTCTCTACTTCCAACCCTCTTCACCGTCCTTGTCCAAAAGCAAAAACTCTTGTAGTTCCTTGTTGTTATTCAAGAGTTCCCTTACACAAACATGTTTATCCCTCCCCCTGCATTACACAGAGTGGTACACTATACACACTGTTCTGCAACTTGCTTTTCAAATTTAATGAGGTATCTTAGAAATACCTCCATGTCAGAATACAGTATCCTCATTCTTTCTTACAGCACCATAACATCCCATTATATGGATGTACCATAATTTATTTAAGTGTTCCATTCCCCATTTGATGGACATTTCTGGGTACTATCTTGACCATGCTACCTTATAGAATTCTCTTACTGCTGGTAGTAATTTTTCTGTTTTTTTTTTTTCTTTTGGGTTTTCCTGGATCACAATATCCTTTCCAAATATTATACTTCTAATTTCCTTGTATCATATCATTGGCTATTACAAGACCTCAGTTTTTAAAGGGAAAGGGCTTAGTTAAAAAGAGGATTGGTATGTAAGGCAGGGAAAACATCAAAAACACAAGGATATGAAACACCCATGGTGGGTACTGAGAAATACAGAAAATCAGGAATATTACGAATGTAAAATAATACAAGGTGAGGTGTAGAAGGAGTGAAGGGGAGCACATGCTGTAAAGAAATGGGGCTGTATGAGGACGGGAGGTGTCTGCAATGAGGAACATGACAAGATCAAGCAATAGTAAGACAGATCCATTTAAGGTGGCAAGCCTAAGGGAACTCTTGAATGATTCCAGGTGAAACATGATCAAGGTAAACAATGTCAGCAGGGAGAGAAAAGGATAATAACAATACTTAGCAGATAAAACTGGCAAGCCTTGATGATGCAGAGGCATGAAGATGGAGAATCTGGATGAACAGATAATGTCTGTAAGCGAGATAAAGTATGCAGGTGGAGGAATAAGTTTTAGAAGGAAGAGGAGAAATTTGACTTTCAAAATGATCAGATATACTTCACTAAACAAAGGGCACTGTGGTGTCCCAGCTTTACTACCTGAGTGGCCAGATGGGTGTGTTGATCTCTTATTTGACAAGTCGTAGAGCTTGGACCTAAATGCAGCTTTCTTAATGCCAAAATCAGCAATCATTCCACTGTGCATGCTGCTTATGAAAAAAGCAGAGTATGTGAAAGAACATAATTGAAAACAAGCACAGCTGATTAAAATGAGAAGAAAAACTGCAAGAGAGAATAGTAGACAGAGTGTGCTACGTAGACAGACTAGGACCACATAGCAGAATCCCAATAGCTGGGGCTTTGGCCCAGTCTAGGTAACCCAAATTTAGAGAATACAACAGAAAATAATAGTTTTTTAGATGATGCACATTTTAAGTAATCCCTCTACACCATCTCTGTTGAGAAGGTCATCTACCATGAGCTCTGAGCATCCCTACACAGGCTTGCTTGGTGTATCAAGAAACCGAGGCCATGGCCACACTTTACCTAGTCTCAGAGTGTGTTTGCAAAGAGCACCGTTGAGGAATGAGATGATGTCTCCCTCTGGGACAAAGTGGAGGCTGCTTACTGCTGGCTATAAAACAGTGGGTTCCCCAAGCACAGTGTCCTCTGCTGTAATGCAACTCCCTGCATGTACACGTGGCCATCCGGGCCCCTCTGGGTTGCTCCTGTGAGACTCGGTAGGGCTGGGGGTAAGAGGAACCAGTGCAGATGTGCTGGTGGTGATGCTGCTTGCTGTGCCATGAGGATTAAAGTCCTTTCTCTCTGAAGTATGAGTAGATATCTTCTGCCAGCATTCATGAAACAGTAACAGGCTAATTTATTGGCTTAGAAATAAGATAAAGTCATATCCTAGATCCTGACCATCCCTGCCCCTGACAGTTTTGAGTCATGGTACTCAGTTTGCCCTTATCAGCTCCTGGGAGCCCCCTTAGCAGCCAAGAGATAGATATGTAAGGAAAAACAAGGTGAGGGAGCCCACCCCACCCAGGCCCCTTTGTGCTTGAGCAGCCCCCCCCCCCTTCAGCCTCCTCCCTTCATCCTCATTGTTTCTTCGTGATATGAGAGGATGTCATTGTGAATTTTGTTTCTCATTAACAGAGTGAGTGAGGCAGAATTGTTCAGGGTCTTTCTAAAAGCTCAGCACTGAATTTCCACTCAACCACTTCTATACTTCTCTCTCTCCAGTTTACTGATTGTGCTCCCCACCCTGACCTTTCGCTATGCCACCAGCATCAATCAATGTGCCACAGTCACCATTACTGATAGGATCAGAGAGAGAAGAGATCTGAGAGAAGAAATGCAGAACCCACTCAGGAATGTATAGTAATCCATTAGTTGCTTTCTCGTTATTTTTATAACACTTTTCCCATGGTAAGTAATTCTTTGCTTTGGCCTGAGACTCAAAAGGCCTCCCTCAGCCACAGGAGAAAGTGTAGATCAGAAATAAACCAGCTCATACAAGGCAGGCTTGGCTTATCATCATCTGGTGGTTCACAAAACCTTAAAGCTTGAACTTGAGTTAAGCTGATCCCGGATTGCCAGCAACCCCTCAGAAGCAAACATTTTTGAAGATGATTTCAGAAGTCTCTGCTTCAAAATACTTCTATAGACTATGTTCAAGTACAACCCCAACATTCAGTGATAGCCAGAACTATGAGGAGACAAGACCATGAATAAGATCCAACAGAAGCAGTAAACAACAAATATACAAGGAACCTAGGTATTGGAATCATTAGACACAGGCTGTACCACAGTGGTTTCCATTTCCTCACAGGCATTTCCGTGCTTGGCTGGTGTAATCTTGACTGGCGCATGAGCTCTCACCTAATCAGTCTCTTGTCCTCTCCTCTCCGGTCATTCCCATCTTCTCCTAAAATTTCCCTCTTTCATTTTACCCTTTCCAGAACCTTCTCTGTCTCTTTTCCCTCAGACATCTTCTCTTCTGTTTTCCAAGGTGCTCAGATTTCCCTGTAATTGTTAAATATGCAGGCTCTGGAGACACCTTGCCCGAATTCAAATCCTGGCTCTACAGTTTCCCCAGGGCAAGTTGCTGAACCTCTACGCCTCTATTTCCACATCTATCATGTGCACCTACCTTAGAGCGTTGTTATTAGGGTGAAATTAATTAATACAGGCAAAGTGCTTATAATGGGGCACGGCATTAGACAGTGCTCAGTAACTACTAGCTAAAAAACCCCCAGACCGCTAAGCTTTAGCGGTAGGGTCATAGTCAGGGCACATAACCAGTTGCTTCTCTGTCTGGAGCTTCTGATCTGAGTTTCACTTTATTCTTGGGCTTCTGTCGCGACAATCTCCCCGCCGACACTGGCTCCAGGGACCTGCTGCCACTCTAGAGCTATGGCACAAGCTTGGACAAAAACCCACCACCCCACCCCACGCATCACTCACCTCCTTAACACCAGCACCACACGTAGGGGCTCCGAATGTCTTTGTTAACTTACCAAAAGACTGAAAGAGAACAAAAGAGGAAGTATTTGAGACGTCAACCTTTTGGCTTGTGTGGTACAGGTCTCTCTCCCTGCTATAGCTCATAAGCCTCCAGCACCCAGCTTTGGTGCCATTCTGCCGCCTGCCTCAGGACAGAGCAGCTCCCTCCCAGCTTCTAAAGGCAGGGGATGGGAGGTGCTCATGGGCTTTTGTCCCTCACCCTTCACTCTAGCTCCAGCAGCCTCTCAGCATGCAGAAGAAACTGTGTGGTCTACCATGAGAGCCACCATTGGACAGCTCGATTCTTCTGTAACTGAGGCTGAAGAATGAGTCTGATTGGATTCTGGTAGGAGAAGGCAGGTGACAGGACTGTGGAGACTGTCCAGAGGAACAGTGACTTCACGTCAGGTGGGCCTTAGCTCCCCTGGACAAGGAAAAGACCATCCCCACATCAGACCAAATGTTACAAGAGTACCATGCAGGTCTGGGATGTGTTTGTCCTCAGGTGCCCTCCTGCTTTGCTGTGTATCCTGGGCCTGACCTCTGCGGGCTGCATTTCCCTGGCTCGCCTGTCAGCTAATATCCAGCTGGGCTTGGTCACTGAAGGTGCTGGAGGGAGACTATTGAGTGGGAAGAAGAGAAAAATCAGAGTATCCCCCATCCCTATTCAGCTGCTGCTCTTCATTATCCAGCTTTCCCCCAACAGGCCCACCATTACCAAATTCTACGGGTAAAATTGGCCTCTGACTTCCAGCAGCACTGCCTCTTCCTTTTGACCCTCTAGACTTGGAGTAGAAGTGGTTCCTAATCTCTGGGTTGTCTCATTATCCCTTGTTTGTCTTCCTCTTTTCCATTACCTGCATTACAAATCCCCTATTTCAAGTAGTCATCATGGTTTCTGCTTTCCTGGGGGGGACTGGACTGATAACAAATATCTGCTCGATAACGTAACTATGCCCTTTATACAGGAAAGAGTATACACATATGATAACGTGGGCTGACATTAACCAGACATTCCTCTCTTTACCTGATGTGACAGTGTTGTAAGGGAAGAAGCCAAGTTTCATTTCCTCTCTTCCTTGTTTTCAAGCTCATTGTTAAATTTCCTGGCTTTGTACCAATTCTCATCTTCAACCACCTCTTTGAACTTGCTGACTAGAAATTCTCCAGTCATGCAGGGGATCAGTTACCATCCACAACACTGGGTTGCCCACATTCCCTCTCCCATCAATATTTCTCTTCTACCTCCTTTGGCATCTTTTTGTCAGGGAGCTTCACTTCTTACAGTTTCAGCTCTCAGGTATGTATAAAATCTCAGATTCATACCT